ATCATTTTTCTTTGAGGTTACCCTGTGATTTATAGTTTTCTTCCCAAGTTTAGAATAGTCCGTTCTATCTTGTAGTTGTCTTGACTTCCCCTACCATCTAGAAGTTCTGTAACTACACAGTTTTTTCCTTTTTTTGGTTTGTAGTTGTCCTCATTTGTCAATTGATGTCTCTGGTTCCCTGTTTACAATCTTGTCGACTTATTTACTTTGGATACTTCCATAGCTGGGTTGATTTCTGAGTTATATCATCATGTGTGTTAATGGTTAGTTGTTGTTGGCAGTTGTTGCTTCTCTGTCCACAGGGCATCCTTGAACATTTCTTGTTTGTAAGGTTGGTCTGGTTTTAACAAATTCCCTTAATTTCAGCTCGTCTGGAAATGTCCTAATTTCACCATCATATTTGAGGGACAATTTTGCTGGGTACATAATTCTTGGTTGGAAATTTTTCTCTTTCAGTGTTTTATATATACTATCCCATTGTCTTCTCACCTGCGTGGTTTCTGTCAAGTCTTATTGATTGTCCCTTGTAGGTAACTTTTCATTTCTCCCATGCTGCTCTCATGATTCTTTCTTTGTCTTTGGTTTTGGTAAGTTTGATGATGATATGTCTTGGTGATTTTCTTTTGGGGTCTATCCTGTTTGGGGTTTGTTGGAGTTCCTGAATGGATATATTCTCATCTTTCTCATCATACCAGGAAAATTTTCTTCCAACAAATCTTTGACAATTTTCTCTGTGGTTTTATTTGTGTCTTCCTGTTCTGGAATTACAATTACACATAGGTTATTTTGTGTAATCCCACATGAACCTTAGGCTTTCTTCATTTTGTTTTGATCTTTTTTCTGATTGATACCTTTCCAAAGAAGTGTTCAGGTATTTGTCTTCAGTCTCCCTAATTCTGTCTTCCATTGATTCAATTCAGTTCCTTTGCCCATTCAATGTCTTATCTATTTCTGAATATTTAGTATTAATCTTCTGGATTTCTGTGTGTAGATTTTTTTTATCATATCTTATTTTTCACTTATTTTGTCATTTTGTTCTTGTATTGTCTTTCTTCTAGGGTTTTTTCTGTGTTTTCCTTGATCTTTCTCTCAATTTGTTGAAGATACCTAAATATAAATTTTTTGAATTTCTCATCAGGGAGTTCTAGTGTTGCCTCTTCCTTAGGGATGTGTTTTGGGTCTGTATCCTGGTCCCTTGTTTCTCCTTCTTTATCTTGCTTGTATGGACTGTGATACTCTGTTGTCTCCGAGGCATTGTGATGTTTTTGTCTTTATATTTAATTGGTGATTGTATGTTGGAGTGACTTGCCCACAATTTTTCATTTTGTTTTGTTTGTATGGTATCTACACATGCAGGGTACTGTGCTCCTCTATTCGCTAGTTGACAGCACTTATACACTCACCACCTGTCTTCTTTCCTATTGTAGCCTCTCATATGTCCCTGCAGACCTTGGCAAACAAAGCCTATTCTTAGGTCCCTGGAATCCAAATGAGAATGCTATCACTTTAAAATCCCAAATGGTTGCCACTTGTAAACATTCAAAATGGCTGTGCCCTTGGTCATTTTAAATATCCAAAATGGCTGCCACATATAAACAATCAAAATGGCTGTGTCCTCCGGACTGCGGAAAGTCAACAGCTCAGGTTGTCTCCCTCCTTGCTGTTTCCCTTCCTAGTCATAAGGCACCAGCACAGTTGTCCCTGTAGCCCTTGGTGACCAGGGCTGATCTTTTGGTCAATTCTCAGGTCCCAACACCACTTGGAAATATTCAGGCTGTTGGTCCCATCAGAGTAGCTAATAGTCCACAGCTCGGACCATCTCTGTACTCACTGTTTTTGTTCAGGTTTTTCCACTTGGTGCCTAATCCACTTCTGTATAGTTCCTTTCAAAGTTCAGGGCTCCAGGATTATCTTCTGTATCTCTGTCAACTGGTTTTTCTTTTCTTTGTTGAAGAGCGTCTGTGTTGCTTCTCTGCCTATTCCCCATCTTACCAGAAGTCCTCTATATAGACATTCTTAAAGCACATACAAATACGTATTTAGAAATATCATCTGCCAACCTTATATATGGTCATGGGTATATTCCCTTTTGCCTAGACATACCTGATCATTCGGCCTGTCTATCCATCTAGTTACCTATAGATTAATGTTTATTGTCACTGATGATGCAGTATTGTATATGTACTGTATTGTATATTGTTGTCTGTACCTCTTGTGCACCTGTGTCTTCCTTTTCCTTAGTGTTATCACCTTGTTTTCAAGGCTGATTTTTCAGATATAGATAGCCTGGTCTGTCTTATAAGAAGACAGTGAAGCGCAATGCACTGCCATTGAGTCGAATCCGACTCATAGTGACCCCTTCTTGGGTTTTTGAGGCGGTATCACTATGAAAGTAGACTGCCCAACCTTCCTTCTGAGGAGTGAGAAGGTGTACATTATTGTCTTCTGAGTTGATACTTTCCTTGAAAGGGCCTCACCAGTCCTGTGGACTGTGGCATTTGGGAAGCCCCCAGGAATGTCCGTATCAAACCATGGACTTACTTGATGGTTTATTCTTGGTGGTCAGTAGCTCAGGCTGGGGAGATGGCTGCTTGGCCCAGATGTGTCAGTCTGTGTTTTATATGATAGAACAAAAGCAATGGGCCCCCACCCAAACTTTCACCTCATTAGCTTCTCATCCATCCCCTGTTGTGCCCTATTCCTAGTTCTCGGTGTATAGCCTGAAAAGAAAATCTCAAAAGCTCCTTTGAAGAATCATATAAAATTCTCTGAGTCTCTTATGCACAGATGTTTAATATATATGCCTAGACCCCCACCACCACACACAGAATAAATGAATTTGACACTGATGGTAAAGTCACTGAAAAAACTGTTAATGGATCTTTTACTCTAGAAATATTTTGTGTAAGAGGATTAAGGCTGTGGTTACATGTTTATCTGTTGCAAGTATATTTGAGATCCTCAGAACAGAAATTATCTCTGGAAATCTGCACTGAATGTTCGAGTCGTGTCTTGGCACTGAAGTCCCACCTCCCATTGGCCTCCTCATTCATGGGTATGTTGTGGACTGAGGATCCAACACATTGGACTGACCTGTTAAAACTGTTACTTGTGATAAGAGCACATGAAGCCTTTATTGCTAACTATAAACTGACCAAGTGCTTATGACTTCTCAGTCCTCACTGATGTACATGTGAAGTGGAATTATTTACTCATTTCCTTGGGTAAAGCAACAAGCTGATTCTAATCTTGAACTGAAACTATTTTCCTGAACAGGGTATGTAGCTCATGAATTTATTTTGGACACAAGACCCTTTAAAAAGTCTGCAAATATTGAGGCCGTGGATGTGGCCAAGAGGCTTCAGGATTATGGTGAGTATCCTATGGTTGGGACCCTTTGTAGGACGACTTGGGCACCCACTGGGTGCCTGCTGACAACGGTGGTTAAGCGCTCAGCTGCTAACTGGAAGGTCAGCAGTTTAAACCTGCCAGCAGCTTTGTGGGAGAAAGATACGACAGTCTGCTTCCTAGGATTACAGCATAGGAAACTCTACGGGGTGGTCGTTCTACACTGTCCTACAAGGGCTGCTATGAGTTGGAAGCAAATCAACAGCGCACAACCACAACAGATTCTATCACAAATATGCCAAACTGATTGAATTCTAGTTAATGATATGCATGCTGAAGTGATTACACATGAAAGGTACTGATAACTGGTATGTACTTTATACTAAAAAACAGATGGATGAATGACTAGATCTGAAGAATCTAGGTGGTGAGTCTGTGGTGCTCATGGAGCAGGCCTTCCAACTTATCTGTGTGCTTGAAAATGTTTATGATAAATATTGAGGACAAGCCTGCAGACATAAATCTAAAGCAGCCTGATGTACCCCAGAATGTGGGAACCGCTGCACTGCTGGGTGTAATTAGCTGACAGATGTAACCACCTGGGAGCTGTTTTCCAGCTTTTCAAGTTTCACAGAAAAAGTGTTCAGAAATGGGAAAAAGTTGTTTTGGCTTTTGTCCAGGAAATCTTTTGACCTATGTATCTTTCTGATTTGTCTGCATTTAAGACTTTGGGAAACAGAAACACTTTCAGTATAAAGGGAAAGGAGTTCCTCATTGGCCAAGCCTGTTTCCTCATCTGTAAAATGGGGATGATAGACTTAACTCAGACTCCTTAATACTTGCTACCTTGTTATTTAATTGTTGATAGGCTATAAGCATTTTATTTCTCTTAATTATAAGTAATAATTATTAAGTATTGTATTTAATTTAATAATAATTATTATATTGTATTATACTGTATTGTACATTGTTGTCTGTACCTCTTGTGCACCTGTGTCTTTCTTTTCATTAGTGTTATCACGTTGTTTTCAAGGCTAGTCAATGAATGATATGATCATTACAGAGAGATCCTAAAACATAACCCAAATGAAATAAAAATCCCATTCTTATTTTTCCAGTGATAACTCATTAAAATTTTACTATATAACTTTCAAGACACATTCTGTCATAAAATATACATAAGCACTTTTTTCAAAAAATAAAAATACCATTTTATAGCTTGCTTTTTCCATGTAATACTTTGAAATGTTTATCCCGTTTCACAAATACATGTTTTTAAATGGCAGCGTATTGTATGGGTGCCCTATGATTGGCTTCACCAGTTCTCTATTGTTGGATATAAATTGTTTCCTAATTTCTTCTATATCAGTGCTAAGGTGAATCTCCAGATATATACATTTGCACATTTACTTGCTGATTTCCATCCCAATTAGGGCAGCCAAAGTCAGTGGTGTGTTTCCCTGCCTATACCTGCAGGATTTCATGCCCCTACCATGTCCTGGCCTGTGGCAGGGACCCTCATGATTGAGCCCACTGAGTCAGAAGACAAAGCAGAGCTGGACCGATTCTGTGATGCCATGATTAGCATTCGGCAAGAAATTGCTGACATTGAAGAGGGCCGCATTGACCCCAGGGTCAACCCACTGAAGGTGAGTAGTATCGGTCCTCATCCAGAAGATCTCGTAGAGTAGAAGAACATGGTGTATGGACCATGTGCCTTGGACCCCTGGATTCCCACCAGAAGATGGTATTCTTATCCAGAACAAGACCATTCTTCTGAAAAGATGCAGTCATGACTTAGAAGCTTAAATTTTCTTGAACAATATAACAGCTGGGTACTCAAGTATAATACAGCTCTGATCTGTTTTTACTTTGTTTATAGAACTGTCTTTTGGTTATGGGTGTAATTATCACCATGTACCCACTGGTTGCCAAAGGAGGGAGTGGAGGCTGAAGGGCTTACCCTAGTTGAGGAAGTTTTATCATTCTGTATCTCTGTTTGATGCAATGTAGAGAAATTATAGCATAAATGGAATCTACATGTTTAACTCATAAACTCCATATAAAGAAAAGTTCTTGTCTTGGAGCAGTTCTCTCTTGGCACACTGGATTGATACTTGGCCTGAATGTTTTGTAACATTTATGACCCACACTGGAAAAACATTTGTTAGGCATCATTCTTCCTCTTCCAAACTGTGTTAATTTTATATCTGGTCAGAGCCCGAATTTCTCATTAGATTCACACATCAAGCTACGGGATCATGAATTGAGAATACCATGAAGGCTCTGGTTAAGTTATTATAGCTACAAGCCAGAGAACATATCTAAGATGCTCAGGTAAGCTCAGACAAGCAAGTCTAAACTCTCTCACTGAAGGTAGAGTGCAGTGATGGCTCCAGGATTAGGTACATTGGCCACATGGATGTTTCTCAGGGCAAAAGAGGAACACAAGTTGATCATTTTTGCTGTACTTTATCTTCCTTTCTGGGTAGTGCTGATTATTTCAGGACTTAGGTTATTTTTGTAAATGGCAATAGATATCTCAAAGACCATAATGTTGAATTACAAAAGCATGTGGAGAATAACGTTCATAGGACTATGTTATGTTTAAAAACCTGCCAATATTATGCTATATACTATTTTTTAATATACACGTATGTGCTGTCGTTATGTGCTACCAAGTCAATTCCAACTCTTAGTGACCCCACGTGCAGAGTAAGGTTTCCTAGGCTGTAATCTTTATGGGAGCAGATCTCCAGATCTTTTCTCCCATGGTGTGGCTGGTGGGTGTTTGGACCACCAACTCTGAGGTTAGCAGCTGAGTACACTAGGGCTTCTTTACACATATGTATAATTGATGTATTTGAATTGTGGTGTTGACAGTTGTTGTCCTTCCTGGAGAAGGACATCATGCTTGGTAAAGTACAGGGTCAGTGCAATACAGGCAATAAAATGGACTCACATAGTGGCTGCAATGGGCTCAAACATGGCAATGATTGTGAGGATGGTGCAGGACCCAGTAGTATTTCATTATGTTGTACATAGGTTGCTGTGAGTTGGAACCAACTAGACAGGACCTAACAACAACAATTAAAATAAAATAAAAAAACCTCACTGCAGTAGTGGTATAAAAAATGAGGGATGGTAAACATGAAATTCTGGATAATGGTTATCACTGGGGAGGAGGGCAAACAATGAACTGGAGGGCAGATACACGAGCAGCTTCGAATGTATCTGTAATGTTTTATTATTTTTAAGACATAAAGGAAATATGACATAATATTGATTCAATTATGTGGGTGGTAGATGTGTTTATTACACTATTACCATAACTGTGTGATATTTGAAATATATCGCAATAAAAAATGCCCTGCCTTAACCAGCACCTCCCTACAAAGCTGAAACAAAACAGCACCCCTCTCTCCAAGGGCTTCCATCAGAGGTTCAGTGGTTGAAGTGTGGGAGAAGGTGGCAGTGTTCTGTTCTAACCCTTCTCCATTGTGTCTGTCTCAGATGTCTCCACACTCCCTGACCTGTGTCACATCCTCCCACTGGGACCGGCCATATTCCAGAGAGGTGGCGGCATTCCCACTCGTAAGTTCTCTGCAGCTCAGCGTGCCAACTGGTGTAGTTAGTACTCACTTGTGTGTAAAGGGCTGTCATGTACCCTGAGGGGTTCCCACTTATATAGTCTCCTCATTAAAGCAGGTGTATGGGGATACCTACAAGATGAGGGCCATGACCAGGAATGTGGAGCAAAGGAATTGGCTTCTGGGCTGAGGCAGAGGCCTAGTCATGGGAGTCCCACAGAGGAAGACAGGAGGAGGCTTTCAGGTGTCTGTTTCCCAACACCTCTGACAGGGAGAGGCACTCTTTCTTTCTATCCTTTCTGATCCTGATGTGAAGAAGGTGCTCTGCAGCCTTTTCAGCTGAGGTGGGGGTAGGGTCAAACGTTGGATTGTTTGACATCAGAGCAGGATTGGCTCTTAGCATCTGGAGTAGCTGTTGGATTAATGGTGTTTTGGGTGGTGGTGTATCATTGCAACCTCCTCTTCCCATCCCAAGAAAAACCTCTCAAACTATCCCACATTTCCATCTTTTGTCCCTTGCAGCCCTTTGTGAAACCAGAGAACAAATTCTGGCCAACCATCGCCCGGATTGATGACATATATGGAGACCAGCACTTGGTGTGCACCTGCCCACCCATGGAGGTTTACGAGTCCCCGTTTTCTGAACAGAAGAGGGCCTCTTCTTAGTCCTCTCTCCCCTAATGTCAAATGCCTGACTTGATGCCTCTGTCCGGAACATTTGATAAGCAAGAAGCATTTTATTACCCACCCCAGACTCAAGTAGGGGGTTTTATATACTGGGTATATTTTTGTAATCTCTGTCAAGGTAAATGTAAATACTGTGAGTACAGTGAGTGGAAGCTGATCGTTGGAAGATGGTTTTCTTCAGTGCCCCTGCTTCCACATGTAGCAGTTTGTGTTCAGTTTGCCACTTAGTTTTTTGCATAGAAAATTTTGGGTGTGCTAGGAGCTTTTAACTTTCAAAGTAGGAAGTTTGCCGACGTTATAGGGCTATGCTGGAGATTCAATAGCTATATTTTTGTTCCAAATAAGTCCTTGTGGGCTGTGCCATCTGTGGAAAATCCCAGGGCAAATGTTTACATTTTCTATACACTGAAGACATATTTTTCCTCCAACTAATTTGCCTAATCTGAAATAGCATTTGACTGTTTTCCTCTTTATCTGTGTCTGTTTTTTATCTGCATTTCTTACTATCCTAATAAAAGCATTTCAATTTGAAGAATGCCTTCCTCTTGGTCCATTTTTCTATCTATCTTACCACCATATGCCCTTGCTCTTTGGGAGCTCTGGTAGCATAGTGCCTAAGGCACCTGACTGCTAACCAGAAGGTTGGCGGTTCAAACCCACCAGCCACTCCTCGGAAGGAAGATGGGGCAATCTACTTCCGTAGTGATACTGCCTCAGGAACCCAAGGAGGGGTCGCTATAAGTTGGGTCCGACTCGATGGCACGTAACAACAAAATGCCCTTGCTCTTTGGTTCCCTAGGTTCAGAGGGGTTTTTTTTTTCTTTTAAATTTTCATTGTGATTTGGGTAAAGTTGACACAGCAAATTCATTTTCCACACAGCAGTTCATAGACATTTTATTTCATGACATCAACTGCAATTTCCCACAATAAAATACTTCCCACTTCCTCCCTGTAATTACCTCTTCCCTGCATCCTTTTTTCCTATGCATTCGGTTCAGAGGGTAATGAGAACATCCAATCTAATAGCCACTGTTCCATGATCAGATTTGCCTTTGATTGGCTGAAAAAACAGTTTTTATGTTGAGGTCAGCAGTGAATGCCACTTTGGCCCTTTTTGTTAGAATTGCTTTCGGCTCCACATAATGAAAACCCAGCTGCAGAAGTTTAATCAAATAGGAGGTCCCTCCCCTCCCGCATTTAATAAAAATTCCAGAGGTAGTAACCCAAGGGCTGGTACTCTGTCTTCCTGTTTTGCCTTCCTTTGCATATGCTTCTCATCCTTAGGATCACAAGACAGCTGCTGTAGATCCACACATTACATACCTACTCTAGTAGGAATAAGGGAGAAGAATAAAAGACAAACAGCAAATTCCATCCAAGATGGCTTCTCTGGAAATGTTTTCCAAGAATCCCCACCCAGTGACTCTGGCTTATTTCTCATTGGCCAGAATTGGTTCAAATTGCCACTCCTAGTTGCAAAGGAGTATTGGGAGGTCTTTTACCTTCCACATAGTAATTGTTGAACAAACAACAAGTATGAGTTGAAATAATAAAGGAATAACCCCTGAACTCAAAGGGGAACACTGGATTGGAATCTCCCTGGGACTGGAGATGGTCTGGAAGTTACAAGTCTTCTCGTTAGATCATCTATCCCAAAGTTTGTCTGGAAAATGTTGTTAGTCAGTTTGGGGCAGGGGCAGAGATGGTCTCTAGTGATTGAAATTGGCAAAGGTTGCTTGGACACCTTTTCCTTAAAAGCAGTGCTGCCTTGTGGCTTATTAGGCTTTCTTTTTTTTTTTTCTTTTCCTTACCACCAGCAGATATTTTTAAAAACCTGAGAGCTTTTATGTGTAATGCAGATATCTGCACTGGGGAGGTGGCTGTGAGGGGTGCTTGGCACCCTGCTTCGTCTGGTGCTTCTTCCACTCATAGCAGCCATGGAGGGATTTATTAGGCTTTCATAGGCTAACCCAGGAATGTGTGCCTCTCCTCTGCATTGTTCCTACAAGGAACAGTCCTACAAACAAGATAATTTCATTTTCAACCTACATCAGGTTAAAGATCATGGCCGTCATTCCTTTACAAATTAACTTCTAAAATGCAAGTTGGCATTGCCTATGATATCTTCTGAAGGCAACAGAATCTGTGGAGGGTTGAAAAACAAGCAAACAAACAAAACTACAAATCATTATTTTTTAATAGAGCTGCACAAAATAAAACAACTCTGGGTGTGCTGTGAGTTCTAGCTTTTCAGAATTGGCACAAGAGAAATCTGAGAGGGTTTTGAAATGTTTGCATTATACCTTAATCTTCCTAGTAAAAATTTTTGGATAATTCTGGGTGTGCCATTTTTAATTTCCTACAAATGTGCTTCTCAAGATTACTTGGAAAAAACAAGACAAAAAGCTTGGTAAGACTCAGATTTAACTTCTCTAAAATAACAAAGTCATAAACTTCCAGAAAACAGAGTGGAATCTAACGGAACCAGGAATGATGTCAGTCATCCTAAAAAAATGCACACTTTCCCCCACTGGTGCTGCCACTGGAAACTTGATCCAACTGCCACTCGCTGCAGTTAAGGGTAGTAGTCAAAGGAGAATTAACTGTAACCAGATTCTTTCTTAAAAGTCTGGCAGAAAGGGTGGGGAAAAAGAAAAAGAGATAACTTGCTTTTTTGTTTAAGACATTTTATCCAACATGAATTACATAGGAATATTAAAGTTCCCCAAAATAGAACTAGATTTCTTAGACGAAAAGAAGCTGCTGCAAATGCATTCCAGAAGACAATGAAGAAAATACTTTCATGGAAGGAGACAGTTGGGTAGGCTGTTAAATAAACTTGCAAATAGCAAAGAAGTGCGGTTATAGTATGTGGTGCCAGCCATGCTGGCAGGACGCTGCATTTTGTCAGAAAGTCAGTCTTTAGCCTGTGACAGTGCTTGCCATTCAAAGTGCTACTGACTGGAAGTCTAACCTACTGAGCCTGAAGCAGGTTTGGGAGGAGAGGAGGAACAAACGTGCCCTAGTGAAGCAGGGTCAGTACCATCCTTGAACAACTCCACTATTGCCCAGAAATGAGCTGCATTTAGGAATGAAGTCCCTGGTGTTTAGAGTATGAAAGAGAAGAGTCTCTACAACTAGTATTTAATGTGCGACAAAAATCATTAGCAAGCATTTTGAGGTGAAATTTAGCCAGGTTGAACAATAGCTCTCTTTGGAATATTGTCTTAATTTTCAAAGGGCAAAAGAAATAAATTAAAAGCAAATACCTAAGTAAATACAAACCACATAGTGAGACAAAAACAGTAGTGGGAAGAAACACAGCCTTGAGTTTAAATTCTAGCTCTTAGCTGTGACTGGGAGTTAGGGGTAGGGAGGAACTGTTTCCTGAAACTGCCTCCTTGTCTGGAAAACGGAAATAATGCTAACTTGCCTCACAGGGTGTATTAAGTGAAATAATGAACGAAAAATACCCTACAGCACTCACTTCTTTTTTTAGATACAGACTAAATAGACATGGGAGCCATTCCCACCCCTGCTCCAAAGACATCCCAGGCTGGTGGATTGTCCTTTTTTCCATTTTTAAGAGCACAGGTTCTTAAAGAGGAAAGGCAACCTCTGGGTATCACTGGGGACAGGGCTGAAAACATGGAGGTGCTTGCACGGGATTATGTGATTTACGGTTTTAATGTTTTGGAGGAATGACGTCAGGAAAGGGCTGTTAGGAAGTGAGACTCCAATCCTGATAACGGAAGCAGAAATGGGGCTTCTTAAAACTTATCAAGAGCCCTCTTCCATCATGAGGACTGAAAAATCATTATCTACTAGTAGTGCCTAAAGCACTTGACTGCTAACCAGAAGGCTGGTGGTTCAAACCCACCAGCCACTCCTTGGAAGGAAGGCTGGGCAATCTACTTCCGTAGTGATACTGCCTGGGAAACCCAAGGAGGGGTCGCTATGAGTCGGGTCTGACTCAAGGGCACATAACAACAACACACTAGTCCAGGGTCACAGAACGAAACAAGCTATCCCAGGTCATGGTGGAAACAAAGTCACCTAATACTTGGCTGGGCTGCATTTGAATGCAGAAGCCAAAGTCATATTAGTGAAGAAGTCCTGTCTTAGTTATCTAGTGCTGCTATAACACAAAATACCACAAATGGATGGCTTCAACAAACATAAATTTATTCTCTCTCAGGTTAGGTTAGTACTCCAAATTCAGGATACCAGCTCAAGGGGAAGGTTCTCATTTCAACATCTGTGGGCCTGGCATCCCTTGGAGATCTCCACAATTCCTGACATCAGTCTTCCTCTGGGTCTAGGAGGTTCTCAGCACATGGATACCAGGTCCAAAGGATGTTCTCTGCTCCCAGCTCTTGTTTCTTGGTGGTAGGAGGTCCCTCTGCATGCTTATTTAATTTCTCATATATCTCAAAAGAGACTGACTCAAAATACAATCTAATTTTGTAGATTGTATCCTGTCTCACTAACATCATAGAGGTTAGGATTTACAACACATGGGATAATTATATCAGATCACAAAATGGAAGATAATTACATAATACTGAGAATCACAGCCTAGACATGTAGATACATATTTTGGGGAGAGACAATTCAATCTATAGCAAGGCTCATGCAACAAAATTAACACAAAAAACTGGGTAAAGTAGCAAGAAACCCTAGTAGCTGAGAAGAAAAATTCTATGGAAGATTAGCTCATAGATACAAATTTATAAAATACAATAAAATTCAATGCTAAGCACAACAGAAGGGAGAGCTCAGACTTAAGGAACCAAAGATGAGAGAAAAAGTATAAGGACTTTGAATAAGTATGTTTTGAATGCTCAAAAAGATTGTTAAGATTCTGAAAAAAGAACAGGAGATTATGAAACAAGAACAGGTAAACATGAAAACAAGATTAGAAGAAAATGATCCTTGAAATAAAAGAAATTATTTAGATGGATTAAACAGTAGACTAGATATAAAGAGAAAAATTAATGAACTGGAAGAAAGATATGGAGAAATCACCTAGAACACAGCATAGAGGGAGTAGAAAAACTCACTGCTGTCGAGTTGGATCCGACTCATAGCAACCCCTTCTTAAGTTTGCGAGGCAGTATCACTACGCAAGTAGACTGCCCAATCTTCCTTCCGAGGAGTGGCTCGTGGGTTTGAACCACCAGCCTTCTGGTTAGCAGTCAAATAACGTAGGCACTATGCCACCAGAGCTTCTATAGATGAAAAATATGAAATGTTAAAGTATGGATGGTAGCCTGAAAAATTCTCTAAGTTTGAGAAGGGGATAGAGAAAATGGGGGAAGAGCAATATTTAAAAAATAGAATGAGAATTTTCAGACCTGAAGACATGCACTTTCAGTTTAAAGGAGTAAACTGAATCCCAAACAGAGCAAATATAAATTAACCCACAACTTGATCCATTTCAGTAAAACCCAAAAGCTATTACAGAAAACACCTATCCAACTTTTCAGCACCAATAGATGCCAAAATGCAGTGGCATACCCACAAGATGCTGA